GAGGCCCGAATGTCGACGCTGGAACTGTATTGATCTTTATTGATTTAGCCCTTGTCACGATTTACAGTTCTACTTCTGGCCTGGTCGTATTTGTGTATATGTATATTTATCAAGAACACACATTTCACAGAACTTCAGAATGAGATTTAAAACACTAGACGTAGAACTTTATTAAAGTGCAATCTTGGTTTTATAGTGTATGTCACAATCATCAATTGTGGATGTCAGATGTCAAGATCTATGAAGATGCTATGATAGATGTCACGTTGAAGATTATCTTGATCTATATCACACTATCAATGATCGTGATTGCCGAGGATCTTGAAATCGTCTTTTAATAAGATGATCGTTTAGAAGTAGCTAGATCTAGTTGATAATACGATCATTCAGAATGTTGCCAGTTGATCATCTAGAAGTTGCCAATCGCTAAGTCGATCTAAGTATGTTACTGTATTCAATGAAGAAACTTCTATTCGTCTAAAACAATTACTTTAATTCAGAACTTGAAAAAGCTATTCACTAATAATTACAATGGTTAAATGTACTCGAATAGAATGATAGATCTACACAATAATATAATTGTGTTCTAATACAAAACTTTAGTACAAGTTCTCACTTCCATGTTCCATACAAGACTGACCAAAAATCTAGACCCTTTCCTCGGGTATAGCGTTGTCACGTGTCTAACGCAGCTCGTTGCAATGCCAACCAATAAATGCAGCCCAATTTACAATAATTAATATCTCAAAGCCAATCATATTTATTCTGTCCTCGTGAAGGAATTTCCCGAGGTCGTTGACGAGCTAAATTTAGATACTGTGTACGTGACAGTGTAAATCTCTCTTAAGTACAATCTAGGTTGTATAGTGGGTAGATGTTTGTGTTCATGTATTTGACACCATCAACTTGTCATTAGGCTCGTGTTTTAAAGGCCACAAACCGCTTCTGGCTTGTGCCAAATACAGATAGTAGCTAAGTATATATCTTAAGTAATACCAGTAATAACGAGGAGTTACTTGACACTCTTAAATTATTATTATTAAGAATATTGTGATTCAATCAAGACACACATAACACAAGAATAAGATTCGCCTGGATTACCACGTGACAGTACTATTTTACAAGCATTGCAAACTGCTTTAGAGTTGTCCATTGTTTTGACATTAAAGTAAAGCCATATAAGTGATGACTTTTATCAGTCATTATTATTGCTGTCCAATTTACTAAAGGCCCTTACCAGCCACGTTTATACCCTTTGGCTTGTGTAACAAAATACTTGTAGGGGTGTGTCCTGTAGTTCAGCGCCCTAATTGACATTTCTCTCCAAGTAAACAAACTTAGTGTCATCATCTAGTGACCTCTAGACAGTGTCAATAGGTCTTAAAAATTTGCGTTAATCCATTCTGTGTTTAGAATGGTCATTGTCTATTGTCGGTGCGTAGGTTATGGCATTCTAGCACCAATGTTTATTAAGTGCACAATTGTTGAACGCACTTTCTTTGTTGCCTTGCTGCTTGTAGTCTTATGGAGTGGTTTTGTTATGCTGGTGTAACGTTTGTTGAGATTCTTCTGTGTTCCCCTGTTTAGGGTGAGTATCTAAGGCATGACTGCATTTCGCAGTTGTTTCGATGCCTTAGTATACTAGACCTTCTTTTTGTTTGTCCTTACTCTTGTCTCTACAGGGAGTTAGCTATGGAATTATCAAGATTACATTGGAGTTTGTTATCGGCAGGGCGCCAGTGTTGAACGTACTATTGTGTGGCGTTGTGTGATAGCAAGGTGCGGAATTATTGTTTGATTACTATAACCACAATATTCGAATGTTTTTAAATTCAATGTCATTACTCCATCAGTTTGTCATCACAACTTATATTTACATCATTAAACAATTACATTGTTAAAAATGTTTGTAAAATGTTTTACATGTTTCGGATGTTCCTTCAGAGTTGAAGATAATTACTTCCTAGTCCAAACCTCCCGCAGGACGACGGGGGACGGGAGCGGGCAGGGTTTGATCCCGGGACCATCGATAAATCTGAACGACAGTCCAGCGCGCAAACCGCACGACCAGGCAGCCATTGTTAACAGAGAGTTACTTATTTATTGTGAGCACCAAGGTGCCTGTTGAATGTCAGGGGCCCGGACCAACGAGCTAAGGCCTTAACACAACCCTGACATCTATCAATACATTAAATGTCATGGACTAAACAAATACGAATTTGGGGATGTTGAGTCTCTTGAGCCCTCCCTTTAAAGATACCTCTGGTCAGTGATACCTATGCTAATATACACAGATCCTTTCTATTTGTATCTACATTAAATTTACTTCCTAGCTTACTAAGCTATTAAATATAATAATTATTTTTAATATTCTCTTGGTTTTAGGGTTGAAAAAAATCACTCTTGTAGGTGTGTGTTTTATGTCCAACCTCATAATTGACATTTATCTCCAAGTTAGCAATCTTGATAACAGTGTAGAGTTTTGGCTTGTAGTCCAGCCCCTAATTGAGACTTAACTCAAAGTAAACAAACATATTACCCGGTCAATAGTATAAAAGGTGTGGCTTGAGGTCCAGACCCTTGATTGACAACCTATCTCATAATAAACAAACTCATACCAGATTAACCTTATAGAGGTATGGCCACCTAATAAAAATTCTTCTCCAACTAAACAAACTCAGTTCCCTCATAAGATGTGACCACGTTGACATCTGGCTTAATGTTGTCAGCTGTCTATCTATGAACTTAATGTTATGGACTAAACAATCAAAAGGTGGGGGCTGCTCATCTCTACCTCTTGAGATATACCCGCACTGCTAGACAGATTATCAGCGTGAAGTATAACACGCAACCACAACCATCTCCCAGATACTCCCTATCCTCCAAAAGTACACATGGAAGATAAGGTCATTACACACTAAGCATGCTATAAAGCATGAAAGTTGCACTATAAAAATTAACTCTTTATCTCCTAATCGACGATGCCATCGTTGATTTTGACCTCATTAAATTAAATTGTTTTATTTTTTAAACTTGACTTTGAAATATATAAAAAGAGCATGCATTTTCCTTTAATTCTCCATCAAATACAACATTTTCTGATAACAAACCACAAAGTTATTGAAGCCCAACCATAACAGTGGAGTGAAATAGTCATGAGCAAAATGAAGAATTCCTTCGAAACGTGGAAAAATAATTGCGGAGAGAAGGAGTTAAGTAATAAAGTGCAATTCATAGATATGTGTCCTTTCGGTTTGAAATTTAAACGTTGTCTAAAATAAATATTTCAATTTCTTTTCCTAAATCTACTATCATATACTTTTATATCTACTATACCTTTATCTTTTTTTTATTCTTAAGTATAATGTGTGAATTTCTGTTCTATTAGAGAAGTACCACTCTTAGTAGTCTCCTACAAACATTTATGTATGAAATAAAATTCGCCCATGTCTGTTTATGGATATTGTGTTTTGCGTGATTTATAAATTGTTAAAAAGGCTAATATAGCCTACGATAAGATGGTGCGAAAATGTTTAATTAGGCCTATTGATAAAACTTGTTCTTGTTTGCGAAGAAATGTCTTAGTGTATTGCTGTGAGCCTAGTGACGTAAGCGGTGTCAAGATTTGCTTCCCTCTCTTGCCTAGTGAAAAGGAGGTGTCAAAGTTTTTTTTCCCTTGACGTCATTCGATTTTCTTTTATTCATAACAAGATGCCAAGCCAAAATTAATTTTATTTTAAAGAAACCTCGAGTTTTTGGCGATGTGGCCAACGAGTTGGGAATGTTTTTTTCATTTATATAAATATACCTTGAAATTTTATAGACAATCGTTAGAGTCGTTTTCGAAATTATATATATATATATATATATATATATATATAACTTATTCGCTGACATGCCGAACGTACATTTCAAAAGACAGGTCTGACAATACATCGACAAATATACATCCTAGAAAAAAACAAGGTTAACCCTTAAAACGCGTGTGGTAGTTTAGCTTCTAAGCATCAGAATTGTAATTCCATTTTATGTGCACGCAGTGTAAAACAGCTCAGCACTTTAAGTGTTAACCGTATGATAAGAGACACAAAAGCTAGTCATATTCGACAAAAAAATCGAAACTTCTGATTCATCAAAGGAGCTCTTTAGGATCACAGCTGAAATGTTAGGGGGAGCTAATAACGAACGTTTGCCGTCATCTATTCCAGTATTTGAACTCCCCGATTCCTTCAATAGATTCTTCATTGGCAAGATTGAGCAGATCAGAAATGACATGCCATCCCTCTCATCACAGCTTGACCACTCTCCAATCTTTCAAAATTCTCCTTTTTGCGAGTTTCAGCTTGTATCTGAAGATTATGTCAAGGGTATTATTTTAAAGATGCCAAATAAGTCATGTGACCTTGATCCCATTCCAACTTCATTGCTCCTGGAACGTTTAGATGACCTTGTACCTACAATTACTAACATTGTGAACTCTTCACTGACTTCAGGCATTGTACCACAGTAATTTAAGCATGCACTTGTCAGGCCCTTATTGAAGAAATCCAGGCTTGACCATTAAGACCTACTTGTTTAAAACTTTTTTAGATTAATTCTCAATTGTTATTACAGCGCCTTGAGTCTACATTTTGTTTATTAACAGCGCTTTATAAATAAAATTATTGTTCCGTTGAGAGTTTAGAATTTTAAAAAATTCAAACAAATTATATTAAAAAAAAATTTAAAAAAATTTATAAAACACACAAATACGCAAAATAATGGAAATGAATTTTTAACAAATAATATTGAAGAATTATATAAACATAATTTTGACATCAAGGGATAATAAAATGGCCAAGCTAACTGTCACAATCATCAATTAATAGTGGATGTCTGATGTCAAGATCTATGAAGATGCTATGATAGATGTCACATTGAAGATTATCTTGATCTGTACCACACTATCAATGATCGTGATTGCCGAGGATCTTCATATCGTCTTTTAATAAGATGATCGTTTAGAAGTAGCTAGATCTAGTTGATGATACGATCATTCAGAATGTTGCCAGTTGATCATCTAGAAGTTGTCAATTGCTAAGTCGATCTAAGTATGTTACTATATTCAATGAAGAAACTTCTCTTCGTCTAAAACAATTACTTTAATTCAGAACTTGAAAAAGCTATTCACAAATAATTACAATGGTTAAATGTACTTGAATAGAATGATAGATTTACACAATAATATAATTGAGTTCTAATACAAAACTTTAGTACATGTTATCACTTCCATGTTCCATACAAGACTGGCGTAATCTAGAACCTTCCCCGGGCTCTAGAGCGTAATCACGTCACCAACGCAGCTCATTGCAATGCCAACCAATAAATGCAGCCCAATTTACAATAATTAACATATCTCCGCTTGAGGAATTTCCTGAGGTCTTTGACGAGCTAAATATAAATACTGTGTACGTGACACTAACTATAATACATAATCTTAGGTAAGAAATTTTACTCACACAATTGGTACAGAAATTCAAATACATGTATGATTTCTTTCGAAAAATGTATTTAAAATAATTTTGAATAGATGTCTACAATATATAACACTAAAACGACCAGTTTCATTAAAAAATTAATTTCAGTGTAAAAAAAAAAAAGAATTAATAAAAAAAAAAAAACAACACAATTTAATAGTTAAAAAAATAATCGCTATAGAAGAAATTTCAGTTGATATTGTAAACACATAAATATTATGGTACATCCAAAGTCAGTGGCGCAGATATCATGGCATGAATGGGCTCATTGAGCAAATGGAATCCCGTGAAAAAATGAAAATGATTCACTGCAAGAGTTCAAATTTATCCAATTTATATCACAGACTAATTACTTGAAGTCGTAACTGAATTGAGTGCAATGGTACTAATAACTGTAAAGGTAGAACATGCCTTTGTAAAAATTAACTGTATGGAAATTTAAAGAAATACTCGATTTGGTTTTTGACATTAATATGATGTATGTAAGAGATGAAAGAGAGAAGCGCTCAAATCATACTTCTTATCCCGGGTCTCAAGTACCTTGCTACACTACTGTCAACATTAACTGATAATGAAGCCAGGTATTATGCCCGTCTCAAATTACTAATTTCGTGTATTTGCTGAATTGATATTCATAAAAAAGTATGTATATTTCAGAGGAGTCGTCTTCAGAGCTGACTGAATTTCTTTTTCATTTTTTATACATTGCAAATCACCAACATTTTTTTCTAGGCTAAGAGCCCTTCGAATAAGAACTCTACTCTCAGTTTTTATTTCTTTTTCAGGGTTATTTGACTCTAAGGCTTTAGCTTTTAGAATGAGAGTCCGAATTTTGCTAAAAACGTTGACAGGATCTTTTGTATTTTGTATTTTGTCACATTCAGCAATAGCTTCAGTGTATTTCTTTTGTTTGATTAGGAAAATTGCTGATCTGATGCAACATATCTCCTGAAAATCCTTGTTAAAATTTATTGGTGAGTTTGCTTCGGTAAAAGGTTCAAAATGGCTCAAAAAGTCTTTAATTCTTTCACTTTCAGTTGTTCCCTGAAATGTCTGAATTTTGGAAACTTTATAGACAGGTATTTTTTGAAACAAAACTAAGAGATCGTCATCTTCAAGTTTGCTCACGTCAACTTCTTTATAACTTAAACTTAAAGCCTTTTTCATGCAATCTTTGCTCATTGGACTTACTTGTAGGTCAATGTTTTGTCTTTCTAATGCAATGGCTTTCAAAACATAGACATGTATAACTACCAAATTATTTCCGTCTAGATTTGGTAGTAAAATCTCACTATCGATAAAGCGAATTGCTTCAGCATACATTTTACATTTAACATACAACAAAGCCAGATGGTAGGAATTTCTTAATGACTTCACCTTTAATAGTTCATGGCGAATTTTGAACATTTTCAGCGATCGATGAATTTTTTCCTTAACCAATGGCTCTTCGGTCCAGTCCAGAAACTTTGCATATCTAAGTAAGTACTGTCTAAGCATGTCGGAAGCATACACTTCATCTCGGGTCGCTGTGTTCTCTTCATCTTTTTTCAAACTCATAGCTTCTTTTAAATACATGCGAGCTAGGTAAAGACTTGCACGTTCTGTCTGATATTCGGAAAATGAGAGCTGAAAAAATGCCCTACATTCTTCGTTTTTGTTGTTTTTCAATGACCTAATACCAAGCTGTAAATAAATTAAAGCTCTCTCCCTGTTTTCGTGACAGTTCTTCACTAAACTTTCAACCTTTTGAATAATCTTGTCTTTGGTTTGCAATTTATTTTGCTTTTCAAAAAGTTCCTTCATAACAGAGTTTTCAGACATGATTCGTTCTATTTCAATGTACGCTAATGCCTTTAGAACAATATTGCTGCTTTTAGTTTCGATTTCATCAAAAATTTCAAGAATTTTAGCCCCGTCTGTTTTTTCTTTAAAACTGTTTCTAGGATTGGCTAGACGCCTAAACAGCCTGAGCATCAAATAGCTTTCATAATCTACAAAGTTCTCACTTTTACGAAATGCTATTACAAATTCCATAATTTGAATTCCATGATAAGAATTGAGCGCACTCAGCTTATAATAGTAATATGCTTGCTCCAAAATAGCATCAATCTTTCGAAGTTTATTTTCATCTACTACTTTCTTGAGTTCCAAAAACTTCTCATCAGCTTCGTCCCTTTTGTTTAAATGTCGAAGCAAAACAACTGCATTTGCCAAAGCAACGACATCTTTTTGTCCATTCATTGCAAGGGCTTTATTGTTCATTTCTTTGGCTTGGTCGAATTTCCCTTGTTCAGAGTACACTCTAGTTAAAAGATTAAATTTCCATTTTTCTGGGAAAACGTGTTCATCGGGATGTAAATTTTCCTGCTCTAATTTCCTCTGCAAAAATTGCCAAACATCAGGAGAATGTGTTGGTTTTGAAGGTAATACGCCTTCACCGTCACACATTAAATTACAGGTTTCAATATTAAATGTATTTGGGAAATCCACTAAATCTTGAATGAAACGTTCTTGGATATTCATTCTGAAATCGAATAAGATATAAAATATATACCGGCATAATGTACTTACAGTTTTTAATTGTTCATATTTTAATGCAGCTCTAGGACGCAGTTAAACTGATTTGGCATGTATGCTGGCAAATATCTTTAAAATGACACTAATGTTTTTAACTTCGGAAAAACATTCCGAATATGAGGATGGGTAGATTTGATAAATATAAATCGATAGGATTACATTAATGTTTCAGTAAGATTTGTGCTACAGTAGATCTGACAGGAAATTGCAAGACACACTCTTTTTCTCTCATCACATTCTCTCTCTCTCTCTCTCTCTGTCTGTTCTTTCTTAACTGAAGCCTTGGACAATTAGCAATTATCTATTTGTTTCTTCTTTACATAGCTGAGTATTTATATACTATTCATTGCATTGTATCCATTGGGTTCGTTTAACTGAATTACTACGGTACTTCTTTGTTCACTTGTGTGTGTGTGTGTGATCTCAATGGGTGATTAGAATACATTGTATTACTTTGTATCAACTTTTTTAATTTTTACTTTTTCTGCCAATGTGTAGACGAATGTATACCTAAGAAGTCTTTTTTTTTCTCAATTCTCTATTAGTTGTACAGGTGTTAAAGAAAGATTTTTTTTTTATCAATTCCAACAGTAACCAGAATGTCCCTATTGACCGTGTTGTTCTGCTTGAGTTGGGGGGGGGGGGGGGGCTTGTCACAAACCGCTGTAAGCCCACACCTGTTTGTGTGTGTGTAGCAGAACAACCGCAGTCCACTACCATGGCCTTAGTTATTGTGGAAAGTTTTAGGTTTGTTTACTGTTATTTATATTTTAGATCTAATGCAATTATTTATGTTTTTAATATATTTTAATTAGTTGAATTAGATTTATTTTAATATTGGAAGGGGAAATAAGTATTTTTGTTTGTGCTTTAATGTTTATTTTGTTGTCACGTGACCAGGGGACCTAGGCTACAACGAGGGCTGGGTGACCTGTGAAATTTGGGGAAAAAGGGGCAGTTGGCGCAGCGCCTTGGAGATACAAAGCCTTGGCTCTGACCAGATCGCGGCCTACGTCATCACTGGTCAGAGGCCAAGGTTATGAGTCACCGATGATGCATGTGGACGTAACCACTGAGGTTATGCGTCACTGATGATGTAGTCTACATGAGAGGTATTTTGCTCTGGAAACGAACGGACAGTTAGCGTGGGTATTGTAGAGCGGACGGTCGCATTTCCCGCTTCTGCTTGTCTTCCTAATAGTGTACGAGAAAACTATAGTAAAATCTAACGTTCATAGTCCTTAGAGATCTTAGTTTAGTCGCCAGTTTTGTTGATGTACCTGTATGTAAACGTTTTATTTGGAAGATTCTATATTGTATGTAAATAAAGTGATACGCCTACGTTTTTCTAACTATATTCAGATGTTTAGTTTTATATCTTAATTATATAGACAAACACCAAAATCGCGACAGGGCTAAAGCCACCAAAGTTCCAGCGTCAACAGTCGGGCCTCCAAAATCACCCTAGACCACGACCAGTTAAAGCAGGCGCCAGCACACTGCTAGCGTCTTGTGACAACTAAAGTGGGGGCTTAAGCCATTTTTTAAATCGTAACTGCAGCAGGTAAGATTACCTAAAATGATTTTCATTCGCAATTTCTACGAGCTATGTATTTTAAAGACAACATTTTAATGTTTACGGTACAACAAATAATTCCTTCCACTTAAGCAATTATGAACACTTCTTTGGTGAGTAACTTTCGTTTAAGAAGGCCTCTATTCTAGAGCAAAAATTAAAAGTCCTAAAAATTGTCACAGTGAGTATAAGGCCCATTAAAGCGTAATTTTGTGTGCTTTTTTTGTGTGGGGTTGGGGGTTACTGTGTAATACGGTTTGTAAAGATGAGTTATTCTAAATAAGTGTCTGTATGAATCTTTATCTACGGCTGACAAAAAAAAAATGCAAAGAATGGAATAAGCTGTGAATAGGGATGTAATGTCTGTTAAACTCTTTCGCGGCAAGGGGCGTTTCATTTAAAAATATTGGGTGTATTATTATATGTGACGGGTAGTATAGTTCAGAGCGATGGAAGGCTACAACTGATGGGCCTAGGAAGTGTTTGTGCATATTTCAATCCATCCAAGGGATTTACTGTTGTTTTATACTTTTTCTTTCCTGCGCTGATGAAGACATATTTTATTTATATTGAGTCTAAATTGTATCGGTATGCCCCGTGAAACGATAAGACTTTTCAACAGAAAAACAAAATCTAATAAAATACTCAGAAAGACACAAAGATAAAGGCCCATTTCTCGTTCCATATCCTAGGACAAATATGTACAAATACTCCTTCTTCCCTAGTGGTATTAGAGCATGGAATGGGTTGCCTGAACCAGCCAGGAAAACCAGTGACTTGGCAGAATTTAAGTCATTGGTTAACATGCATGACTAAATGCATGACGCGTAGGACGTAATCATCTTCTTTTTTTTGAAGTAACGTCTGTATTATATAAGGTAAGATAAGATAAGAAGATAATGGACATAAGTGCACAATTTTAAAATCATTTTTTTTTCTTTCACTAAAACTTGTCCATTAAACAAAGTTTAAAAAAAAAAATACAAATCAGTGGACAATAAAT